GAATAAATCTTCTATAAAAAGAATTAATCTTTATGCCACTGTAACTCTTATAGAAGAAGTATTTTTTTCAAAAAAAAACTAATATTAACATGTAAACAAGCTATTTTGAAAAAATTTTTTATAAAAATATTTTAGTGATTTAACTGCATTTAAAGCGCAGTATATTTATTGAAATGCATTATTAATTTATTCCATCATAAAACTTTTATTTCTCGTGATAGTAGGTAAATAGAATTGTTACGAGGAATTCATTTCTAACATTATAAAATGCAAAAATTATTAGTAAATAGAAAATGAACCTTTCAGATATTTTATTTAGAGCCTACAATATTTTTTTAGATTATTAAGATTTTTATAAAAAATTTTTTAAAAAAATTACTAATAACTTTATATATATTAAAATCAATATTTACAAAGTTGCATATCAGTTATTTTAAAAAAATGTTGAGTTTTTAGTGGCTTAAAGATTGATTTTTTTTTATAGAATTTTTTAAAAAAATTAACCAATAATTTTATAAAACAATTTTTGCGTAAAATTATTATTGGTAAATAACATTATTAATAATTTTTTATACACAGAATTGAATTTTGCAATATTGCCAGTCAGTTTTTTAAAAAATACATATATCTATAAAGAGTTATAGTGGCTTAAAGATTGGTTCTTTTTGTAAAAATTTTAAAAAAAACTAAATAATAATTTTGCAAACCCAATTTTATATATAGTTATTAGTAAATTTTTTAACTTATTTATTATTCAAAAACTATAGAAAGGCAGAAATTTTTTCAGGTTCAAGTTTGGATTTTTGATTTGTTTGGCTTGTATTTATGTAACGTTTTGATGGCTTGTGCTATACATACTGCATTATGCAGTGATTGTTACACCAAGCCCGACATGAATTCCGAACACGTGCAAAAGAAAAAAGCGAAAATACTCAAAAACTAGTGTTTAAATCGACCTTGGTATACTAATTAAAAATGTCGAAAACGAAATTTTTTTACATATAGTGTTCTAATGTTAACGTTCTAACCCTAAATTTGTGGTTTTACGCACTTTGTTTATTTACAAAATCAAATTTCCTTTTTTGTGTTGTATTATCGGCACAAATAAGTAAATCCGGTTTGGACTACCATTTCACTTTTTCACTTTTTTGCTTGTTTTGCTTCGTCAGGCTGATCCGGGTTTGATGATCCAATTGCTGATTATTACGTAATCTGCCGCTTTAAGGGGGACCCTCTGTTGTATGCAATGGAAAATCTCGGGATAGCACCTGGCTTTAATTCAGTCGTCTGATTGGTTGACGTAAATCAATTGCCCGGATAACTTATTTATATGTTTAAAGAGAACATAAAGTTTCACTAACAAAAAATCAGCGTAAAAGCCATTTCTAACTTCGAAAAAGAACATCTATATGCGATAATCAAAAAATAATTAGCATTATCAAAAAATCCTATATATATTTATGTTAGTTTTAAGAATTTATCGCTGATTATTAATTTCGTTTTATTATTAGGATCGTTTCGCTCAAGTGGGTACGATTGGATTTGCTAGATCTCTCTCGGTCGGACAAACTCTGGTCCTTTTAATCAAATATTATGATACACGCGCTGCTCGAGCCGCCAAAGAATTAATAAACGGCATAATTATTGAGGTATCTCATATTTGGTCATTTATTCAATTATTTTAATCCAATCGTTTATAATTCATTATTTATAAATTGGAAGGTCAATAGGAAACAAGCAAATTGTTTCTAATTAACTTTTTTTATTTTAATAACTATATAGAATCAAAACAAAAAAAAGTTACTTAGAAACAATTTGCTTGTTTCTATTGGCCTCATCTCCATATTTATATTTATAATTCATTGTCTATAAAAACAGGGGTTCAAATCCGTGTTCAATATTATGATGCTGGATCACAGTTATGGGATGCAATTGCTGAAGACTTCAAATATCATCAAAAAATTGATTTGGCCATTCCTCCGCCTCCGTGCCAGTTCCTGGTTGCTTCTTTACCGGGCCTGGAAAATAGGTCTGAATATATGCCAAAGGTTTTTCCATCCCTGCCTGTAAATAGTACTGTAATCTCGTCTGGTAACAGAGCTATCCCAGAAAGCAATACTCTAGATCTTGAAAGAATTAAAAATAGTATTTTTAACTTTATTATCTCTAAAGGGTAGGGTGAACGTAGATCAAAATTTTGTTTTTTGATACACCTGCACCTATTTTTTTGATACATCAAAACATACCCTAACCAATAGGTAATCAATAGGTTGCATGTAATTATAAAGCTAGAAATTTTAGGTTACGTGGTGGGCAAAATATAATTATTACAAAAATATAAACATATAAAAATTAAACAGTTTAAGCCAATTTGAATAGATGAATAACTAATTTTAAAATATTTATATATTAGCCTTGACTATTTAGGTTTTATACATTATATTTTCATAATAATTATATTTATTTATATGTGCAGGATATGACAATATATGATTCGACCAATCAGAATTGGTAATTTTGTTGAAGGAAAAACATAAAATATTGATTATAAGCGAATTGATTTTTTTAAAAGCCATATATATACCGTAACTTACTATTATATACAAACTGTTTTAAACTATGTTTTATAAGATTTTGATAATAATTGGTAAATTTCATAAGCCTTGACGATCGTACCACATTCATGATCAGGAACGTTCCAAACAAGTACTGTATACTCAGATATATGGGTGAGTCAATAGAAATCAAGCAAATTGTTTTTATTGAATTTTTTAAAACTTTATATACCAATAACTTAACCAAAACTTGATC